CGGGGCGCAAGCGGCGGGGGGAAGGCGGCGGGGGGAATGTCTGGGGAAGTTCGGAGAAGGCGGGGGAAGGCCGGAGAAGCCGAGGGTCCAGCGAATCAACCAATCAATCAATCAATCAATCAATCAATCAGTCAACTAAGAAGGAGAGGGAATCCTTAGCGGATGTCGGGCACCCTACCGTCTCAACCAGAAAACAAGGCACGAACGTTTTTTTTTTTTTTTTTTTTTTGGGGAAATATTAAGTATTTCATTATAGCGAAAACCTTGGACGAGGTTGGGGACCTCATAATTCAACCCGGAGTTACCCTGGCAGTATCAGCCAGTTTTGCTTACAATGCAGGCTCGCTGACCTACCTCTATTCCCAGAACTGTTATAGGCCTATAACCACTTTCGTCTGTGGCAGTCGAGTTCACACACAGACACACGCACACAAGGACACAGTTAGACGGACACAGATAGACACACACAAACAGACACAACCACAAACACAACCAAACATACACAGGCACACGCGCACACAACCAGACACAAAAACACACAGATACACACACAGACACACACGCACACACACACACACACGCAAACACAGGTACACGCACACACAGACACACACACACGCACAGACAGCCACACACACAAACACAGACACACAGACACACAAACACGCACAGACAGCCACACACACAAACACAGACACACAGAAACACACACACGCACATACAGCCACACACACAAACACAGACACACAGACACACATAAAGACAGAGGCCTGATAGCGGTCCCAAAAGTGTTTAAGGCCTACAAGCACCTTCGCATATTTTTGTGCCCGAGGCCGCACATAGACACAGGCACAAACATACACTCACAGGCACGCACACAAGAACACAGGCACACAGACATACGCAAGCGTTCAGACAGAGACACACACACACACACACACACACACACACACAAAAACACACATAAAAACACACACAAAAACACAGGCTTGAAGTGCTGATAAGTTTTCCCAAGAAAATCACAGGCCTTTAATCACTGGTAGACACATACACAAAACACAGGCACACAGACACACACACACAAGGACACAGTTAGACACACACAAACACACGCACACCGACACACACAACGACAAAGACACGCACAATCCGTGTCTGTGTTCGTATGTCTTTTTGTGCACAGTACACGAACACATACACAGCCTGTGTCTGTGTGCGTCTGTCTTTTTGTGTCTGTTTCCGTGCCTGTGTCTGTCTGTGCACAGTGGCTCAGACTAACGCAAGGACATTCGCAGAACTGTTGTAGGCTTTTAACCACTTTCGTCTGTGGCAGTCGAGTTCACACACAGACAGACGCACACAAGGACACAGTTAGACACACACAGACAAACACGCAGACACACACACGCAAACACAGGTACACACACACACACACACACACACACGCACACACACACACGAACACACACACGCAAACACAGGTACACGCACACACAGACACACACGCACACACACACACAAGGACACAGTTAGACACACACAGACACACACGCACACACACACAAAGGCACAAACATACACTCACAAGCACGCCCACAAGAACACAGGCACACAGACATTCAGACATAGACATACACGCACACAAACAGCGACACATACAGACACACACACAAAAACGCAGTCTTGAAGCGTTGGAAAGTTTCCCCAAGAAATCAAAGGCCTAAAATCACTATTAGACACACACAAAAGAACACAGGCACAGAGACACACACACGAACACAAGAACAGGCATGTTTTGTCAAAAAGTTTTCCCAGAACCAACACAGGCATTAAATCACTCTCGCCTAAAGACACAGGCTTGTATTGTCAACCAGTTACCCCAGACGCACACAGACACACACAGACA